CTGTTTATTTGCTACTACTATTTATGGTTTTCCTTTAGAAAATAAACTAAATAATCGTGCGGATCTGATGATTCTATTTGTCATCCTACTCTTGGAAAAAGATATCCTTCCGATATATGCTATAATCGATAGCGGATACAAAGGAATTGCCTTCGCAAATCGAAGTTGGATGTCTTTCTAGAAAATACTAGTACACTAATTGTCTACGGCGTTCGAAGTTATAGGATTCGATGGAAACATTCTACCCGACAATCGAGTTACCTCCTACATCCGAGTAGGATTTAGAATCAACGATTATATCGAGAAGAAGATCGTTTTGTATGTAACCGAGCTAGCTTATTATTCTATTGTGCTAAGGATAGTTTGGCTTAAGAAACACAACCCCCATATCGACTTCGCGACAAACTCGTTTCAGTTCGATAACTCGTTTTGCTATGAATTTTGTAACACTCTATCCCGCCCGTTTTGCATAAAAACTCTGCTAGATGTTCCTCCAAAAGCCTGATCTGTACACCTGCCTGTCTACCCCGAAGGGTTAAAGAATAAGGATATAGCCGTGATTTCCCTGAGAGTCTATTCAACTTATGCTTGCTGGAAATATAAAATGTTCCAGATATTGATTGAACAAATCGATGATATTCTAAATAAGAAAAAGAAGGTATTTGATCCCAAGATTTATTACCCGAATTCCGAAATTGGAAAGATATCTTTTCCTCAAAGAACACAGAGAAGCTACCCCCTCATTGATTGTACGACTATGAGATCCGTCTTAAAGAAAAAGCTGTTCCTCCTTTCAGCACCTTGTACTCCATGTCCCGCCCTGAATTAGAAACCCTAAAAGAATAGCTGGAAAAGAATCTTAAAAAAGAGTTCATCCGGCCAAGCTCCTCCCCCACCGCTTCCCCTGTTTTGTTTGTTAAGAAGGCCGATGGAGGCCTCCGATTTTGTATAGATTACCGCACTTTGAATAACTTGTTGGTCAAGGATTGATATCCCTTGCCATTAATGAAAGAATTTTTGAACAATCTGAAAGGAATGAAGTATTTCAGTAAAATCGATATCATCTCTGCCTTCAACAATATAAGAGTAAAAGAAGGGCAGGAATACCTGATTGTGTTCCGTATCCGATTTGGACTGTTCGAATCCTTAGTTATACCGTTCAAACTGACAGGGGCCCCCACAACCTTCCAAAGGTTTATCAATGATTCTCTATGGGGATATCTGGATATATTTTGCATTGTTTACCTAGACGATATTCTGATATACAGCCGAACTCGAGAGGAACATATCTGTTATATCCAGAAGGTCCTGTAAGCATTGAGGGAAGCCGGTTTGTTCGCTAAATTCGAAAAGTGCGAATTCCTGAAATCCGAAATCAAGTTCCTAGGCTTTATTGTAGGAAGCAATGGTATCCGAATGGATTTAGAGAAAATCCGAACAATCGTGGATTAGAAACTGCCTGCTAGCGTAACCGATGTCCAAGTATTCATTGGGTTTTCGAACTTTTACCGACGGTTTATTAGAGATTTTTCAAAAATTATCAACCCAATGGTAGACCTGACCAGAAAGAATGTTCTGTTTCTGTAGAGCCCTACCTGTCAAAAAGCGTTCGACCGATTGAAGCGAACGTTTATCGAAGTATTTGTTCTGGTTTTCTTTGATTGGGAAAAGGAAATGATTGTAGAAACCGATGCCTCCGATTATGTATCCACCGGAGTACTCTTCTAATACAACAATGATGGAATACTTAGACCTGTTGCATTCTTCTCTAAAAAACACTTGGTAGCTAAATGCAACTACGAGATTTACGATAAAGAACTACTAGCTATTATCCATTGCTTCAAAGAATAACATCCCAAGTTGGAAGGCGCTGCATTACCAATTCAAGTGATTACCGATTATAGGAATCTGGAATACTTTACTATAACGAAGTTATTGAATCGCTGTCAAGCCTGTTGGTCCGAATTTCTATCTCGATTTAATTTCCGAATCACCTATCGCCCCGGAAAGCTAGATGTCAAACCCGATGTGTTAACCAGAAGGTCAGAAGATCTCTTTAAGGAGAGAAATGAACGCCTCCTGTACCAAAGCCGTACTATCCTGAAACGAGAGAATCTGGATCCCGACCTGTTTTCCTGCTGCTATTACCCTAATCGAATTTAAGATTGCTAAGAGAGTATGCTTTGCTGTAATTATTTGTAGTTAGAGAACCCCGATTTTACTGATACTATCAACCACTTGGATTCCGATGATACCGTAACTTTACCAGAAAATGGCAAAGTTATAGAGCCTGCAATTCCACGTGCCATATTTATACCCAATTCTGCGATACAACTAGAGGACCCAGAAAACCCTTTAAACCTTCCTGCCGACCTGCTTACCCTGTTCCACGAAGGCTACCAAGCCGATCCTATACCCGAATCTGTCCTGAAATCTCTATGAGAGGGATCCTCGAAACACTTGAAAATCACTCTTGCTGAGTGTATCGAAAACAACAATCTGCTGTATTACCAAGGGAAACTATATGTTTCCGACCATGATCTCCTGAAAACCTACCTGCTCCGCCTGTATTACGAATTGCCCGCTGCTGGTTACCTGCATTGTACCCGAACCTTCGAATTACTGTCCCGAAATTACTATTGGCCTGGATACTATGATTATGTTACACAGTGGGTCTATAACTGCTATAGTTGCCACCGTGCTGTCCCGAATCGCAGAGGCTAGGAGGGAGTTCTCTGTCTGCTTCTGATTCGCAGAGAGCTTGGTAAGATATCTCAATAGATTTCATTATGCATCTGTCCGAAAGTATCGGTTTCGATGCTATTATGGTAGTAGTCGATCGATTGACAAAAATGAAACATTTCTTGTCTTGTTATGGTACCTGCAACTCTGAAAAGATCGCCCGCCTGTTCCAGAAGAATATCTGGAAGCTCCACGGCTTATCCCTAACCATTATATCTGATTGTGGAGCTCAATTCGTCTCTGAATTCTGGAAATATATTTACAAGCGTTTGGGTGTAACCGTTAAGCTTTTAATCGCTTATTATCCTGAAACTGATGGATAAACTGAGAGGGCTAATGTGATACTGGAACAATACTTCCGGTCATATATAGCCTACCTGCAAGATGACTGGGCAGAGTGGCTCCCATTTGCCGAATTCTTTATTAACAATGCCTGATCCGAAAGTACCCGAATGATCCTGTTTTTTTTGAATTATGGGTTCCATTTCTGTCTGGGCTTCGAGCCTGTATCGTCCCAGAGTAACTGTTCTGCTGTATGAGATGCCGAAGAATTCGTCGCTAAAATGGAAGCTATCTCCTTACACCTACAGACTGAACTAACTGCTAGTCAAGCCCGATACTCGAAGAATACCGATGCCTACTGTTCCCCTGCCTGTAGATACCTGCCCGGTGATCTGGTCTGGCTGAATACCAGAAATATCAAGATCCTGCGCCCACAGAAGAAGCTCGATTGGAAGAACCTCGGGCCCTTCAAAATCCTGAACCCGATAAACCCCTATACCTATAAACTGGAGCTCCCGGCCTCGATGAAGATTCATCCTGTTTTCCACATCAACCTGCTATATCCTGCACACGATGATTCTATTCCTAGACAGTATAATCCGCCACCACCCCCTGTAGAAGTAAACAGCCTCGAGCGTTTTGAGGTTACCAAAATCCTGAACTCCCGCTGGGAAAAAAAGATTGTAGAGAACCTCGCCTGAAATACACTGTCCGTTAGGTCGACTACAATACACCGATTGAAGAATCTACAAGCTACCTAGAAGACACACAAGAACTGATCCGCAACTTCCACCGTAAATACCCTGACAAACCCGGTCCCGCTTAACCGGGCTCTGCTTGTTTGTAGATTGTAAACCGTGACGTGCCGCTTCGATAGAGCTTGACTCTTAAAAAAGGGGTAATGTCACGGTGTGAGCTCACGTGATATGCTGGTCCTATCGGAGAGGACCGAAAGGAGCGCTCGCACCGGAGCGCAAGCGAGCTAGGGCCCGATCGGGCTAGCTCGCTGTAAGAATTCCGTATATCTTCAACTCAGAAGATCCTGTATTGTAGCTCTTTGAGCTACGTCTTAATCCTCAATCTGAACCTATTACCCGAATCAGTATAGCCTTGCCAGATTAGGGCAAAGTTATTAGAACCCTATCCAGCCCGCCTGCCCCGTGATAATATATCTTTTTTAAAGATTTTGATTTTATATTAATAAAAGCTTTTATTACAATTCTTTCAATTTGATTTAAACCTTTGCCTTTCTCTTATATCTTTATGATTTATTCTCTTTATTATATAAACCTCTACCTCTCTCTTAATTATATAGACCTCTACCTTTTTTCTTGTACTTTTATGTATTCCTTTTTGCTAATAATTTCTAATTCAGGTACGAACCCGGGCTTATAACCTATTTTAAGTATAACTCTCTACAAAGAATAAGATAAAAAGCATAGGATAGAAAGTGATGATATTAGGAGGATTAGTATACTAAGTATATTCTTCCATTTCCGAAAGGAAAAGCTCTATATAGAACAAAGCTCTTACTAATACTAATTGGGGCTAGCTCCCCCTGCTCCATGATCACGTGAACCACACCTTTCAACAGTATATAAATTTTTATCAAATTATATTATATATTGATAGAGATATTAATAGGCCTAAAAAGTGATTTTTGGTATGAAAGGGTGGCTCAAAACCCTGGTGGCTCGAAAGTAGGGTAATCGACTTACCTAAATCGTAACATTCCCAGCACCCATTCCAAGATCCATCTCGCATAGCTGAAACCCATTTTTCATTTTCACACGCAAATGCTCAACCAATTGTAGAATAAAATTGCAATGTATGTGCTTGTATTCAGAGTCCAGCATCGCTATGTAACATAATCTCGACTTGACATTAATAACCTAAAGTCACAGCGCTCTCTCCAACTTTCTCATCACATGCTCCATTATTAAACCCCCGCAACAAAATACACACCAAAACAAACACTACTCAACCATAATATCATCATCATCTTTCGTGAGATCAACAACGACCGCTGCAGCAGGAATTGGCTGTCCGGTATGCGATGTAGAGACTTGACCACTGTCAGTTCTTTGGCCTAAACCAGGGCTGTCAGTTACGTTCATCGGGGTACCATAAGCATTCCTAGCAACAGGTTCAGGTCTCGATGGCAGACCATTCATACCAGTTCCGTGAGAGATAGTGGGATTATGGATACTAGACTGGCAGTTTATAGGCCCATTTGTATCTACCCTACTGTTTCCAGGCATGAGCCTAGCATTGTCTTCAAGCCTGATACCCCAGTTTGCTATGGGGCCACCGCTACTACCCGGCCCAGGCAGTGAACCGACTGCTGACAACATAATAAGGTTGCCTGAGAAGTTTTCTGCTGGCTCAGGATTAGGTGCATTCCTGTCGAAATTCAGCGTAAAGCATTCTTCGAGCGCTTTGAAATCTCCAAGATGTTTAGTTTCCTCAATGCCGAGTTTGCCGCCATTTCTAGCAAGTTCCATGGTATCTGTTTCACTTGCCACAAGAGCTACATACTCTCGCTGTAGTCGCTCGACTTTCTGTTCTTTTTCCAGAAGTTCGGCTTTCAGCGCAAAGATCTCTTTTTGGAGCTTATCCTGATTACTCGCATTGTCCTTTCTCATAGCGTTGATAGCATCGAGCCTACGGACCATAATTGGCCTACCAGATGCCTTCCGGTCAACCTCCAAACAGTATTCGATCTTCTCTTTCCAGAGTTCAAACTTCGGAACGAAAATATCGTCTCGAAATATGTGTGCGATTTCCAGAGCATCTTCAATCATTGCCTTAATACTATCGATTGCGACCTGTGTAAGTCTATGTACCGCAAGATGGCGTATCCCAGTCACCCTTTGAAAGAGGGAGCCAAGAGAAGAACGTGCTTCACGACCAATGGCTTCAACTGGTATCTGACACTCGTTCATTGCGCCCCACCATAAGTTCAACTCTACATTTTCGGGACATTCCCATGTGTTCGCAAGCAGCATCTTAGGAAGCCACTTTTGTACAAATCGATAGCACATAGACTCTAATGCAGTTTGCAAAGATCGAAGTATTGTTATCTGAAGTATGAAGGGCAGACAAGGGAGATTCGGATTTCGCTGGGAATAGTGACCATGAGGATTGGTTTTGTGTTTTGGACGGACTAGAATAAAATCGTTCAGATTAGCCTCATACAAAGAGATTTTGAATCAGGGGGGAAATGAATTCCTACCCCGCGAATGTAAGCTTCTTTCAGAATAGTGGACTCTTTTTGATGCTCTTGATCCATAATATTCAGGTATTTGGCCTCGACCTGATTTAGCATCCTTGCATTGAGGTTTTGTATGATGAAGTTGATCTGGTCTAGTTGGTGCAACAGACGAATCTGGACGGCAGAGAACGACCTTTTGGACAGTTTTTCCATCCTTGTTTGTCTTTGAGATCTTCCCCCCTTGAACTCTTGGGTTGGATCTTATTGCCCTTTTATCCACAAACCCTTCAACTGGTGTCAAGTTATCCGCTCTACCAGGTTGCTTCTCATCGGATTGCTGTAAAATTTATGATTAACAAAAGGTACTTTGCCATTGAATGGACATTGGTCAAACAACACCAACCTTTGCATTATTGAAGAGTTGTCTGTCAACACTCTCCTGATCATTATCGCCGTTGCTAGATTCTTCAGAAGATCCATCATTTGAAGAAATTTCAATGATTTCTGTAAAGGTGATAGCAGTTTTTGGAGCAGCTGCAGCTTCATTCAGAATACTTGTGTGACGAACTCGTTGTTTAACAGTATCGTTTGTGTTTTGCATTATCGTGTCCATGATTGCAGTTGTTCCCAAAAGTCGAAGTCGAGGTTGAAATTCAGGTTAGAAATTGAGTTCAGTTGTGGAAGAGAATAAATAAACAATAACCCATATTGGCGAAATGGTTGTTGTGGGAAGTCGGGATATGGAAATCGGAGTACGGAAATCGGGACTCGGAAGTAATGAGGTTGGTATGGTCCGAAATGGACATAATATTCACTTTCTTGTTGAATTTCTCCTTCCTATCCCGTGATACCTTCTACTGCGGCCTATCAAGGAAAGAGTGAATGGGCAAAGGAATAAAATGAGATAAAGATTCATTAGCTGGAGACTGTTTATATGAATAAGATGTAAAAATCGTAAAAAAATTACTTTGCTTCAAACTGATAAATACCTTAATTATATATATATAATAAACTGCTTATGAAAGATAAATTTACTGTACTCACTCCCATCAGTAAGAGAAACTCTTCATTGCTGCAAAACATTCTTTCCATCACAGACCTGACTTCTGAACGATGAACTTGTTATGGGCATAGAAACATGAATTAGAATAGACTCTGTTTCTGTCTGCTACTATTGCATCACACAGATTCCTGTTAGATCTACTGAAGCTCACCACTGATCTTTGATCAGATTCACTACTCACGAAGCTTAGTGTTATTTGCCCCCAATCTCTACAACCCTTCAGTCTAATCTCTTGTCTGTTTCATCTTTCAACTCTCCCATAATTCAATATTCCACACCTGAGCCCAAAATTTCTTCATTTGCAATACTGGTAGTGAGACTACTGAGGCTGCTATAAGTTCTGCTAGGAAGACTTGAAAGGTTGTTGATCCATCAAGTGCCAAAACACAAATCGATTTTATCCAATCATTTGATCCATGGATGGTTAGGAGCTTTCTCATGACTAGTGGTTTGTACCTTTCGATTCTTGAACAATATATAGAGTCTATATGATTATTGCCATGCCTGTCATGTAATGCTAGATAAAGGGTCTATCTACACGACATGAACAGGATTTTGTGGACAATCATACAATCATCAAAGCAGCTGACTTGATTCAACACCCAGTGTCATACTTGAAGTGGAAGCTGTGAAGACGATCATATTACCAATCAGTACCCAATACATCAAATGGATTTGTTGGCTTTTTGTTTGCTGTGCCAGTCCGATTCGAGTTGTCCCGCTTCCGTTTCTTCTTTTGCTTAATTGCTTCCGCAGAAGTGGCAGTGGATATTCCAATCCCCTGACTTAAATCTCCAAGAATCGTTTCTTTCATCGTCCGTAAGCTGGAGTCCATTTTTTCGAACCCGTTGAGATCACTGAGACATGGCAGGTCTTGAAGCATGTCATTTAGTTGCGACAGTGGTAAAGGGACTGAGTTACGGCCACCAATCAGGGTCAAAAAGCTTATCATCTGCTTCAAAATTCTGAAAGAGTAATGAGATCCTTGGATTTGGGCAATGACATGTATCATATCCCAATCCCACTCACTTGTCTTGCGGATACTGTCACCTGGGTCTGAGATTTGGAGTCCAGCCAAAACCTTTCTGCCCATGCCTACTTTGTCAATCGACTCTGACCACTGGCATCTTGTGTAAATGAGATTGAGGTCCAGTGATTAGCAGCGTCATGTCCCTTGACCTTGGACCGTGTCTCGCGAAGGAAATTTATAACTTCAGTGCAAGCCTCTGAAATATCTGAAGCACCTGGAATTGCCCACTCCCTCCCGCGCGAAGCATTTGCTTGTCGTTTATTCTCAAAAACGGAGGTCCTCCTCTCTTCGACTGGAAGTACGAGATTGATGCAACCATATGCCAGTTGTCGGATAGATGTGGACATCTCCCAAGCATTGGTTCGAGATGGGGAATCAATGAGAAATGGAAGAAAAATGTTGATGTTATTTGCACCATCCTGGGAGCCGCTTGAAGATTGGGAAAGGCCAAGGCATTTCATAAAATAAGGAAACTGAAGAACATACTCACAAATACGAGGATCAAGAACTTGCAGAGCAGTCTTCACTACAGAAGGTTTGAGCAGCTCCGAACTGAGAGTGGCTACATCAATATCCACTGGCAAATACTCCTTGACAAAGTCTTTATACGTTTTTTGGTGCTGATTGATGGCTGTTAACGCAATTGCTTGTTTCAGTAACTTCGAAAAGCTACCATGACAATCCATGAAAATCTCAAAAGCAAGAGCACGAATACCATATGAAGGTGGAAGGCCTAATCGCTTGATGATGGATCCAGCATGGAATATTTGGGACTGTAGCATCCATGCATCGGCCTTGGATGAAACTTCAACATCTTGAAAGAAGCTCACAGAACTGTCGGTGCCAATTTCATGAACGAGAAGATCAGAATCGCCAGTGAGAATGATTCCACCATATCGGCTAACATAGCTGGCACAATATGTATCTGCTTCCCCGGGAACAATCGTGACGAGATGTTTGTATTTGTTAGAGGTTTGTAAAGCTTCAATTATTGCAGGAACGAGAAAGGATGACGCTGGAAGTTTTGTGAAGTTGGGACGCTGGGGGGAAAATGCGAAAGGAAATGATGTAGGTATAGTTTGGTTTGTCGATGAAAGTCGGTACCTCAAACCAGACGCATATTCTTTGTGATATTTTTCTAGTTGCTGTGTATTTCGATTACGCCTTTGGTAACGAACATCTAATTTGGCTGGGGGTAGATATCCATCAAAGTATATCCTTTTCCTGCTTCGAGTTAACACAACGAAGAGAAGCCTATGATCCCGTTGAACTCACACAACAGCATCACTCCTTTCTAGGCCATCCAGCCATGCCAATACAGTATCTCCAATCTCTTTATACGACGGATTTGCTTCAAAGTAGTTTCCCGCAGACTTTTTGGTACCTAAACATATATGATAGATATGATATGCTAAACCTGGACCGTCGATTACTACATCTTTGCCCTTGAACGAATCGAGAGTTGCATAAGGACGGAGGAATGTTATTAGATGTGGAATTCCCATTGCTTTAATGGCGACAACAATGATTGTACATTTGTGATGTTTGGTTGTATTAATTGATTGACAGATCTGGCTCAAGATGCTTGTAATGAGTGAAGTGAGTCCTGTTCAGAGTGAGGTTTGCGTGAAGGAATGATAAATTTTGGTGAAGGGATGGACAAACATTTGATTTCATGGTCATTGATTGATTCCCCAAATTTCAGCCCAAACCCCCGCTAGCGCAATCAACCCCACTACATATCCTGGATCTCTCGCCAAAACTTTTTCTTTTCTTCTTGACATTGGAAAAGCATCTTCAACCAAAAGAAAAACATCAACCAAGATGCGCAATACACTCATCTTCGCCGGCAGTTCATGTCCAAAGCTCACAGATCAAATATGTACGAACTTGGGAATGGCTTCGGCCCCAGTCGAGCTTACTCAGTTCGCAAATGTACTGTTTCTCAACTCCCAGAGAAGCAAGCTATTCAGCTAATAAATTCTAGGGGGAGACAAGCGTCAAGATCATGACGAGCATTCGCGAGAAGGATGTATTCGTCGTTCAATCGGGTAGTTCTAAGATAAATGATAGTATCATGGAGCTTTTGATCATGATATCTGCTTGTAAAGGAGGGTCCGCGAACAAAATCACAGGTTCGTGCGCCGAATTCCATTTTTTTACCATCGCAAGACTTAATTGCTAACTTCTACAGCTGTTCTGCCATACTTCCCATATAGTAGACAGTCAAAAAAGAAGTCACATCGAGGAGCCATCACTGCTCGTATGCTCGCAAATCTTCTACATGTTGCCGGAATTAACCATGTCATTACCGTCGATCTCCACGCTTCACAAATGCAAGGCTTCTTCAAATGTCCCGTCGATAATCTTCACGCGGAACCATTGATCGCACGTTGGATTCGGCGCAATGTGCAGGAGTGGAATGAGGCTGTTTGCGTTTCCAAGAATGCTGGTGGCACCAAAAGAGTAACATCTCTAGCAGATGCTCTGAAACTCAATTTCGGAATGGTCACAACAGACAGAAGACGAACTCCCGCGAATATGTCAATGAGTATGATCATGAACCAAATTGAAAACTCTACAGGCGAAGATTTTCATGCAGATATCAATAAGCTACATATTGGCGCATCTCCTGCAGCGGAAGAAGAGACGGCAGAAGAGCCCAAACATGACGGAGAAGCAGACCCTACCTCTTCAATGTTATTGGACGGTGATTCTGTCTCACATCAGACAAGAGCCCGTCAAGACAGCCACCCTTCTCCACCACAACGTCTGCACAATGCGCCATCGGCCATCAGATCTGGGCATCGAAATTCTGTTGGAGCATCTTCGCCTTTGATACGAGCACATACTACCCCCGCACCAAGATCTACACCTGTCGATGAAGCGATAGAAGCACAATATACTGATGAGCGTGCCCGAGAGGTCACCCATGGTCGATTGGTTCAAGGTCACATCGTTTCAGATGACTATCCTTCGCCTACACAATCCGCGATGTCATCTTCATTAATTCTCGAACGTCCTGAAGATGACCCCATGTCCATCTCTATGGCATCTTCAATCTTTAATCCTGAGCCACACGCACTCGGCGGAACAGCAGACGCTGCTGGTGATGCATCAGATGAGGAAGAAGAAGGCTTTAAAGACCCAGGTCTCGAACAGATGATTACATTAGTAGGAGATGTTCGGAACCGCACCGTCTTCATCGTTGATGATATGATTGACAAAGCTGGCAGCTGGATCGCCGCAGCTGAAACAGTCGTCAAACGTGGTGGTGCCAAAAAGGTCTATTGTATTGCTACGCACGGCCTCTTCGGAGGAGATGCCCTTGAAGAACTCCAAAACTGTGATTGTATCGACACCATTGTCGTTACAAACTCATTCCCTATCCCGCCAGAGAAAGCAAAAGATGCAAAGAAGTTGCAAATCTTAGATTTATCAAAGTTACTCTCCGAGGCCATTAGAAGGAATCATTATGGAGAATCAATTTCTGCTCTTTTTACACATTCTAGCGATTAGATTTCTGGTTTACGATCGTATGATTAATATCAAAATCAATCTGCAATTTGCTATATTCGAATATTTATACCCATAGCGTGGCGTACGGTAGCGGAAAGACGGAGAGGATTATGACTGAATAAATTGCTATTTAGCAAACGGAACGGAATTGCATTTTCTTGGAAAGAGAATTAACGGCGGCGCAAATTCATAGAACCAGGTGTTCTCCATAGTCTCGATCTGAGTCTTCCAGGTGCAGTGATACATTTTGATATTATCATCCTAAGTATATCTCCTTTTTTCTCGTCCTTCGTCCCGATTTTCTTCTCTCGCGTTCATTCCGAAGTGTTGATACTTAACCTACACGGAGATGTTTCCAACTTTTCATCCAAGTTTCCCTACATCTTTTGCGTTATCGTCTTTCTTATTCCCTCTATTTTTTTGATAGACACTATACCCAGCGATGCGATCTATAGTGATCGCAGGGGCATACCTTTCCTTTAGAAAGATGTCCTTAACGGAGCGTTGGTAGATTAAACACAACCTTGATATATCTATAGTTGCGTTTGTGACTGGTATGGATAGGCGATACTTGAAGGTGCTTTATTGAATATGATTGATAAAGGGCCGGATTTATTTCGGACATGTGGCTATTTGTGTGCAATGGATATTGCGTTGGGGATCAGATGGAACTAGAGGGCAGTATGAATTTGGTAGATGGATACATGTGAGGATTTACGAGAAATGTCACAAAATAAAAATATCGATATGAATCTGATTGCCACATACACATCATTATTAATAGAGCATCGAAGTTAAACAGTGTAAATGCATGTAAATCTAATTACATTCTACAGTATATATAGTTGCTTGTTTACAACATTGTGCAGTGCCATGCCTCATCTGAGTTTTGTGCATGCAATACTACCCTTCCACTAAGCTCCAGGACGGGAATAGTCTAATGCCTCCACCCTCTTCCATACTTCTCTCACTACACGCTCTTGCTGCTGTCTTCCTGTTTCGTTGGGTGTATCGCCTGCTGGTCTAGAGATGCACAAGGTAGGTTAGTACTGGCACTCTTTTTGCTACATTGTTGGAATAGAGGGGGGATGGCGATGGATTTTTAGGGCGCAATGAGAGAGTGAACATACCTAATAGCTAGGTACAATCGACTGCCCAATTTAACTTCTTGGATAGGATCAGTCTCAGGGTTGGCAGGAGGATTCGCGGTGGTTATTAAACCGCCGGCTTCGCGGAGAATGCAAATGCCTGCTGCTACGTCCCTGGAGTGTGTATTAGTTGATAAACAAAGTAGATAATCAAATAGAATGAATAAACGAACCATTCCCAACAACCGCCTTCCCACCAAATATCGAAAGCTCCAGTTGCTGTGTATGCTAAATCCATCGTTGCACTAGATGTCATAGAAGTGTTAGTATTTTGATTTCTCGTCCTATCATGTCACAAGAGATAAAGATGAGAAGAAAGGACTCACCTCCCCAAACTCCTAACCCCATGAACCATTCCTCCTTTTCCGCCTCTTCCCCCGATCTCAGTAGCCAGATTTACAAAACTATTAATCTTCTTTCTCAAATTTCCTCCCTCGATATCCCTCCTATCCTTCCCCCACTCACAACTAAACGTACACCCCTTCGGCGCTTCTTGTCCCAGAGGCTTTCCTTTTACATATGGTAACTTCCTCTTCCTCTTCAAACTTCCGGAGCCGAAACTAGAGCCCCCCGATGGAATCTCATCACTAGCCCCTACATGGTCGTTTTCCCATGCGCCGTGTCCGGCTAAAGCAGAATAAGAGACATCGAGAATTGGAGCGTAGATGACTCCAATGATGGGGATACCGTTGATACAAAAGGCGATGGAGATACAGAACATAGGGAATAAGTGTGTGTAATTTACTGTTCCGTCGAGAGGGTCGACGATCCAGGTTGGGGAGTCATCAACAAGGTATTGTTTGGAGGAACCGGAGGAATAGGTTTCTTCTCCGATGAATCTGGGGATTGTGAGCTACGTTTTGTGAATGAAGGGGACAGTATATACTTATGTGAAGGATATCGACTTGATATCTCATGCTTAACAAATGCTTCAACATCTATTCATTTCACGTGATCAGTATATCTCTTTTCAATCCTACCATCCTGACGCATCAGATAGACGTATCTTCCCCCCTCAATACCCAGCGGAAAAAACCCAAGACATACCCAAATCAGTCTGTGTAACAATGTCCACCGCATTCATTTTTTCTTCCTGCTTCCCCCCTTCATCCCCTTCACATCTCTTCTCTACCCCGTCCATCAACATTTTGCCCGCTCTCCTCCCCAGGTCCAACGCAAACGCGTAGATCTTCTGGAGTTCTGCATCTGATATCTTATCGGCCATTTTGATGTTTGTTAACCTCTGTGTATCATCAATTGGTGTATGAAATGCACCGGAGGGAACTTGTTATTGGATGGCTCACAATACAGAGGCTCAGATATGAGTAGGCAGGCCCGCGGATGAGTAAGACTTGATAGATAGTGGGGTTGTATCAGAAAGGATTGGATTGGAGGCCGATGATAGGCGTGGTGAAGCGTAGTGGGGTTGTATGGTGGGGGATTTTTATGCTGATTGAATAAATATCGAGAGGCCCGTCGATCGAGGATGTTTGTTTGTCTGGAGATTTACAAATACAATTCGGATCCGAATAGGAAGTTTGATTCCACGAGGAAGTAAGAGTTCTGGAACCTACTTACCGCATACATATTGTTTTCCCCGCTAAAACCATCAATTATTCAACTTTTAAAACCCCTGTTTAATAGTTATATTCTTATATAAGAAATCTAATAAAATAATCAAGTGATTTATATCTATTCAAATTATTATAAAAAATAGCCAATTTATTTTTCTCTAATTTATTTATAAAGTTATAAGGTATTGAAGCCAAAATTCATAAAATTTTCGAAAAAATCGCTTATTTTGTATAGGAAAAGTATTACAAGTTAAAAATATCAATTTTTTCAATTTCAAATTTATATAGTTTTTTAACAAAATATTAAAAAATAAAATATTCAATTTTTTTTTAATTAATTTATAATATGATTTATATATAATTTAGTTTTCGAAATGAAATATTTTGAATTGAAAACGCTATTAAATTTTTTTAATTTGTATGGGAAAACGCCATTTTTGCAGGGATTTTGTCACAAAACAATATGGGGTGCGGTGAGTAGGTTCCAGAACTCTTACATATGGTTTTCACTTAGGAAGTTTGGCGAGAAAGAAATATGGACGTTCCAAATTGAGTTAGTTCATTGCTTGAGTATAATCTATCTTAATCTTACATACAGCCCATGCAACCATTTATATTCTAACCACAAAGTCATATCACGTTTCTAAATAGCCAAAATCGTCACACTTAATCGTGACGTCTCTCGGACTTGAGTCCTACACATACATTTAATTTGGACATCACGAACTCGCGTGCTTCGCCCTGTCATTCGCCAATTTCTCCAAAACAACAGTCCTTACCTCCTTTACCGGTAACTGCTCAAGCTCAACTCCCAACCAAACTTTATCTTGCTCCAACCCCTGGTTAATCATCGCTTCTACACCTCCTACTACCTGCCATCCAGCTTTTGTAGCTAGTGCTGCAATCTGTGTATCCGGACTTGGATGATAACACATTTCCAAAATTACTCCCTTTTCTCCCTCTTTTCCCAAGAATTCTATAATGATTCCTCGCGCTCTATGTTCATCGTCGGATATTGGTGTAAAATCTGGAATGGCGGAGACGATTACTGTCGGTGCTGCTAATGACTTCGCTTGTTCTACCGATTCGATATACAATAAATTGTCTCCGAATCCGTTACTGCTGCACTCTGCAATCACAGCGTCGCACTCGGATTTATCCCGATTGACCATGTATACGGTCTCGCAGCCGAGGAATTTCTTCAATGCGTAGAAGGCTGCTCGACAGGTTCCTCCACCTCCGATAACCATACCTGCCGAGCCTTTTATACTTGATATTGTTGCTGCTGATGCGTTCTGAAGGATAGCTTCGCGGACACCAATACAATCGGTGTTTGTTCCACAAAGAATCTTCTCGCCAGAAGGAGATGTGCGGTGGTAGATAGTATTAATGGCACCAATGGCAGCGCCCTCTGGTGTAAGCTGGTCGAGGTATGGGATGATGGCTACTTTGAAGGGCATGGTTACGGAAGCGCCGAGAAATTTGGGGTCTTTGGTGAGTTCGATACAATCTTTGAGGGTTTGAGTTTCATATAGATATTGGAGGTAGTTGAGGTTTAGTGAGCGGAAGATTGTGCCATGGACTTGTGAGGGAATCATTTGTTAGCTGAAGATCTAGTAGGGAGAGGATGGGGGGCATTGGGAAAGTTCTTGTAGATGTGCATAGAGCGTGAAATTTCCAAAGGATGGGTATGCTCTCTCAAACGCAGCAAGCTCTGGTGATTTGAGGCATGTCCCCATGGGAGTGATTCTGGATGATGAATAGCTATGAAGCAGATGATGTGGTGGAAGGCTCAAGGATTTGAACTCACATAGAGGAGAGAGAGAATGGGCAATTGGATACCCAAACAGGTATGCAACTCGATCCAGGTGGGAGATTTCCGGGGGCGGGGTCTGCATCATTGTGGAGGGAATGGTGGCGTCAACGGTGCTGGTAATTGTTTGTGACATAGCTGCAGTAAAACTTAATATTCAATAAACTGTTGCAACTCGAATCGTGTATCCAAAAAGAGATGAATTCTAATATGAGTAAGGTTATAATGGATTGGAGTTGTGAACGATGAGGAGACGAATGGGAGCGGAAAAGTTATTTCGAGAGGTAACCGAGGAAATGGAGCTTCTGAAATCGTGGAGATATCTTGCTATCGGTGGAAGAGCAAAGATCAAACAAACAAGTCAATGGGAAAGGAATTGTCTTCTCTATGAGCCAAGTCTCAGGGTCTAATGGCATTAGCCCGTGAGCAATTTAATCAAACTTATACTTTGTCCAGCTAATTGGTTTGATGACAATTCCATACGTCTTGACCTGTAAGAAGCTTTGCAATGCGCGGAAATATATATACGCGTCGCAAAGTCACAATCTGGAGGGTTGAAGCAGAACCCCACCAAATTTTGTACATACAATGCACACTTTCATGCTTCTCATAGATTTGTTTTGGATGTTGTGAAATTAATGACCTATTCTTCGGTCAACCCGCAAATTTCTTTAGCCGTCCGTGAAGTTAAGACTAGGAATGATCCCACACGACGTGGGGTAGGGTTTGACTCAATTGAACCAATGATTAGCTAGAAGCCCCTTGTCGTGAAGATTTAAGCGACGGCACGGTACATTTCAGCGACAGGTTACTATTTGAGGTTAGCGTTTCCGAAATAATTGTTTCTTAGCTGCTCTTCCATTGCAATTTGGTCGGAGCTTCCAGTTTCTTGTCTCCGCTATCAACGTCTCAAAGGTTTAAGTAAAGCTATGGCTAAGAACCAAAGGCTTGCTTAAATGTCTTGGAGTGGCGGTGTTGGCTACAGAGGAGTGAATTCGTGAAAGAACAAGTGATTCAGAAAGCCATGGCATTCAGATATGTCGGGTAAATGTTTTGGGAGGTAAACATCTCAAGATACTGCCATATTGAAGTAAACAACGAAGAAATTGTTCTTTAGGTTGCAAGTTGCAGCACATAATCAATATTTCGGGGCAGCCAGATTGACTCGTGTTTTGTAAAGATTACCAGCCTCAACATTCCTTCCTTTCTTCATATTTAAATCAAATAGAACATTAATTTAAAGGGGTGAATTCCCCCCGCTGATTCCCCATGGGGAGAGCTACCATGGGAACCCTTTCCACGTGCTAACTAGGTCGATCACCGATCATGTTCGTCGATAGCACCCAGAAAAAAAATGGAAAAGGCCTTTCCCCTCAATTTTGATATTCTTTTCCGGGTCTCCCACACTCTCCCACACAAGATCATTCTCTCCATCAAGTTCTCCATCTAAGGAAGTAGTCTATACCAGAAGTAACCTAGTGAGATCTCAATAAACCAGCCAAATCCCAATCTTTAGCGCATGATGACCTTCAAATTCGCGCCTTCGCGCGCCAAATCTTCTCCCCCTTTCCTCCCCATGGCTTTCTGGATGAATGCGGAACCTAAGCTAGGTCCTCCCTCGTGTGCTATCTAAGCTTCCCCACCAACAACCAAAAAGTAAAGTCATTTTGACTTTTGTCAATAGCATTGGCATGCATTCGCCGCGCACGGAAGATAAAAACCTGCCAAGATACACACCAAAATGAACATGAATCTTTCATTCTACCCCAGAATACAATCCAGACTTCCTTGTCCAGTCCCAGGAAGACGGAGCCGTAAGCGTGGCCAAAAGCAAGTTCTGGATTGCCATCAAATTTTGAAGATCCACCATACCAAGTGTTATCTGGATTTTCTTCTTATAAAATGGGTGTTCCGTTACGAGTTGTCTTTTTCATCTCATCATCCTTACTCTCTTCTATCTCTTTCCATATAAACAACTTGATTGTCAAGAACATCTAGTGATCTTTGGCAATTTTATTAAAGTTGCGATATCACAATACTACATTGCAGTTGGGCGGGTCCAAGGGTTCAAGCTTGTGACTCACGTTACTTCGAAGAATTTTTTCTTCACGACGCCAAGGAATCTTGCGAAATCAGCAACTTCGAAATTTTGGAAGTATTGAAATAGAAGATCATTCAAGATGGGTCTTTTGACTTTGGTAGAAGGTATGATATTTTGAGAGTTCTTCAAAAGAGTAGCCATTGACATTCACCAGATCGGCCTACGCCAGCATGTGTCTACAATGCCCGCGTATACTTCTGCGCAACTGTGTAAGTGATCCCGTTCAATATGCATAGATTCATCAAACTAATCTGTTATACAGAGCTGCGTTTTGTGCAGTGATGATTGGATATGACTCCGCATTTATCGGAGGAACAATTGCTCTTCCATCTTTCAAGAGTGAATTCAATTGGTCACAATATTCAGCCGATGAAGCTCTCCTTATCTCCGAAAACATCGTCTCACTCTATCAAGCTGGTGCTTTCTTCGGAGCTCTCTTCGCTTATGCAGCTGGTCACTATTTGGGTCGTAAAATGGGTCTTCAAGTGTTCTCCGGTGTCTTCGTTGTTGGCGCTGGAATGATGTTGGGCGCCAATGGCGATAGAGGTCTTGGATTAATTTACGGTGGTAGAGTTTTGGCTGGTATTGGTGTTGGTGGCGCCTCCAATTTGGACTCCTATCTATATTTCTGAGCTTTCGCCTCCTGCTATCAGAGGACGCTTGGTCGGACTGTATGAGATGGGATGGCAAGTTGGTGGCGTTGTTGGCTTCTGGATCAACGTAAGTTCTTATCCCAGCACATTGACGCGATTTCGTTTATTGATATATGAACAGTATGGAGTCTCAACTACTATGCCCGCAAATCACAGACAGTGGATCATTCCCTTCGCCGTCCAATTGATCCCTGCCGGTCTCATGTTCGGCGGACTATTCATGATCAAAGAATCTCCAAGGTGGCTCATGAGCCGTGGTGATCGAGCAACCGCCCTCAAGAACCTCTGCTGGATCAGAAAACTTCCTTCAGATGATATTTACATGCTCGAGGAAGTATCCAGTATTGACGCTGCTCTCGAACAACAACAGGCCACTGTTGGACTCGGCTTTTGGCAACCTTTCAGAGCTCTCGGTAACGATCGCAAAGTCATGTACCGTTTTGCTCTCGGCTGCTCTCTCTTCTTCTGGCAAAACACATCTGGTATCAACGCCATCAACTACTACTCTCCTACCGTCTTCAAGGAGATCGGTGTTGTCGGTACAAATGCCTCGCTCCTCACCACAGGTATTTTTGGTGTCATCAAGGCAGTTGTCACACTCATTTGGCTTTTCTTCCTCATCGACAACTTTGGCCGTAGAAATCTCCTCATGTATGGTGCCTTTGCAGGAGCCATCTGTCTATACTACGTCGGCGCCTATATTGCCGTTGCAAACCCTTCTGCCAATCCTTCTACCACTCTTTCCGCAGGTGGTAAATCCGCCATGGCATTCTTTTACCTATGGACCGCTTCCTACACTCCCTCATGGAACGGTACCCCATGGGTCATCAACTCTGAGATGTTCCCCCAGCACGTCCGTACACTTGGTCAAGCATTCGCAGCCGCTAGCAACTGGTTCTTCAATTTCTTGGTTGCTCGTTTCACAGCACAAATGTTCAAAGCTATGGGATGGGGTGTTTTCATCTTCTTTGCTTCTTTGATGATATGCAGTATCGTATTTGTCTTCTTCCTAGTCCCTGAAACCAAGGGTATCCCATTGGAGAGTATGGATAGACTCTTCAGCTCCGAATTGAAGGCCAGACATGCCCATGGCGTTGTATTAAGAGAATTGAAGGAAGACGAAGAGGCGTTCAGAAGAAACGTAGAAGGAAGTGGAATTGGATTGGACAAGGAAGGAAACGAGAAGAGTGCTCAAGTCGAAGTTGTCTAAAATGGAACGGTATCTGGCCCGCTTTAAAGTAGGAAAATGGGAAACTCAAGAGGCTGAGCGGACTTGTGTTTGGTTTTTGGTGTTTATAGTGTTTTGGAGGCTGGCTTTTTGTTTTAGGGATCATCAGATGCACATCTTTGAGGGAGTGTTTCCATGATTACCGCTTAGCATTACCACACGCATATATGTATGCATTGATATTAATGAGTTTACGAGTATGATAATATCAAGAATTTAATTTTGATCAAGAAGATCATCGATGACTTAACGATGGTCCCCTTATATGTACTGTGATCGCATATTTTGGTGCCTTATCAGACCTTACCTTTGTTGTCGAAAAGTACGGAAACCCAGGAATCCAAATCATGAGCCACACCAATCTTGGTGAACAACTAAATCTGAATTTTCTCGATGTCCGAAGAGTTGTGGACACTTGACGACAGCGAGTAACAGGCAAGAAGGATTTGGCACCGTCATGAAGAATTTCAACTCTTTCCCGTCCTTAAGCATCTTCAACAAACTGCCTATCATCATACTACCCGATTGCTGATGATAGACCAGTGGGCGGAGGAGATCGATCGAGAACAATGGCTGGCTACGGTTAATTACGGTGGCTGTGGATGTATATCTTCAACTATTGGACAGGGCACAGATATTGTAGTTATGCAGTGGATCGAATTGTATGTCATAGTTTTACAACAAAATCATTCATGCCCGTCTGTTGTTCTTGACTAGATATCAATTGACTTTACAGCAGTATACTCGGTCCAATCAATATGCTGCGCTATGGAACCACTGATTAACAAGCGGGAACCGTTGCAAGGGGTCTTTGAATAGGATATGTGGTGACTGTAATTGCGAATACTGCAATAGACCGGAAACAAAAAGTAGATGTTGGAAATCCTGCATTTCCTCACTTCATTTACCCTGGTCTTCTTGACTTGGGAAATCCAAGAAATCTACGGACTACGGACGTCACTTTGAACAACTAGCTTCACTCTGTACAATCTATCTGGACAGGTGTATTTACGTGTGTCAAATTTAAGTTTATCAACTAGCCCGTACCCCTACCCTTATTCATGACCCATAACCCCAATCTCCATCCAATTTTGTTGCTTCTTGGTGTCTCCGCTTTCCTATCTCCATCCACGAAAACTCCACATAGCTAATATAAACAAGAATCCAGTACAACAAGACGCTAAATCATGCACAATTTCATATACAATTTCATACCCATTATTATCCCATCCATGCCTGTCTATCTTCCTCTCCTTCTCCATATTTATGATAATTTGAATATACCTCCATTCTCATGCGTCTCTTGGGCGCTTTAACACCAGTCATCAGCTCAAATTGAGCAATAGCCTGCTCGGGAAGGACTTCAAGACCGTCGACCACTACCCAGGCAGTTTTGGTTTCGGAGCGGAATTGGCGGATTTGGGAGAGGAGAGGAGTTGTAAGTGGAGGTTTATAGGAGAGCTGTTGTGGAATGTTAGTCGGTTTGTAGGATGCATGACGAACGTGTGGAAAAAATGATGATTATCTCAAAAATTGCATTCAATACAAGGAGCGTATCATGCTTTAATAATAATAATGATCTTGAACAAAGGACAAGACTCATTGGAACAGATTAAAATGCGTATAAACCTAGAAAAAAAAACTTCGATACAGAGTAGGAGAATCACGTGGATAGCGTTCTGGATACGAGAATTGAAGTGGAAAGACAAGAGTAAAATACGTACCTCTACAACAACTCCACCAGTAGGACTACTCAACCATTGTACAGGCATCGTGAAATTTGCTGGTGGCTGATCTCCAACACTTCGTGCCGGGACACAGGAGACAATCATAGTAGGCGGGCTAAAGCCCTGTGGCCACTGCTCCTGCGATGATTGCAACACATGTACAATTTTGCCATGATTACTCAAACTAATAGCCCACGAATTGAAGTGATCAGCAACTCTCTGAGCATTCTCAAGTGTTCGATTGAATAAGAATATTTTGCGACAACCGAGTTGGATCATGGCATACACAGCTGCTCGTGCCATACCACCTGCACCGATGACTAGTCCCGTCGTTTTGGATGGCTGGACGACATTTCTTGGAGATATGTTACGGCGGAGACATGTCATTATCCCAATAAAATCGGTGTTGTCGCCATAATAAGCAGTGACGGGTCCAGTTTTACTTCGACGATTTGCATGTTGAAGTAAGGATTGCGTGGTACCGTCAAGAGGATTGCCGTCTGAGGATGGCCGAAGTGGTAAGAGAGTGTTCACAGCCCCAATAGCTTTTGCATGGTAACTTTTTGGGCCAATTCGCGACATGATCTGGACTTTGAATGGCTGGGTAATGGCTGCTCCACCAAAATCAGGTCGCTGACAGATAGCATGAATATCATCAACGGATTTGACTTGTAATGATTGAAAGTCGTTGCTCATACCACACACTTCATAAGCTGTGTTGTGCATCGCTGGAGACAGACTGTAGGCTACACTGGCTCCAAGATGTACAAAATGAAGTGGATCGAGTATAGACTTTCGGTATAGTTCTTGCCGAGCCTCTGCTGCTGTTGGCAGAAATTGTCGGAGTTGACTCTTACTAACAGTAGAATTCATGACGGGATGCGTTACTGGGGTAAAAATTCGGTTCTCAATTAGCGAACTCCTTCCATGGTCTCCAAGATTATAAGCGATTACTGGAAGATGGCCTGGTATAGATTCGATTTTTCTCAGAAACCCGCGAACAGTCTCGTTGTCACTTTCTTTCGAGGTTGCTCGAGCAAACCTGACTATATCACAACCTATCGACTCGGCTCTCCGGTATTGTATCATCCTAGACTCGTCATCCCATCCCCATGAGTTTTCGACACGATGAAGATAGTGTCCAATAGTTTTTGTCCTTCCAGAAGACCGAACAAGCTGCATGACACGATCGGATGAATGCTTAAGATCGATGACAATATACTCAACCCCCAGCCGGAGCCCGTGCTCAAGTAAAGCAAAATAGACATCTTCTTTTTGAGATAAGGACAATGAGAGACCTTCAAATGCATATTCTTCGGCGTGGAGGATAACTGGTACCCCAAGTTCCCTTCTTACCGTGGAAACTTGTTTCGCTAAATCTCTTTGCATATCGGGAGACCTCAGGGCATCAACCTTGATTTGAACTGCGTCGGCTCCAGATTCCAATTGTTGAAGATCCAGATCAGGAATTGTTGACATACGAACAGACAATGCATAGGTATACAGTCTACACTCCGGTGGCAAAGCTGCGATAGAGAACGGACTTTCTAAACTATTACGAAGGACACCTTGTCCCGTGATGAAGTCAAGAAACGCCGAGAAGTCTTCCTTTGCATGTTTTAATTTTGATGAAACATTGGGAAGTCCTTGATCTTTCGGACTCGCCATTCCATCACAACTTCTATCGTGCAAATTATAATATTCATAATTTGAACAAAATCGATGAGCAGCATCGGCGTTTTCGTAACGTGCAGCTTCGAAATCTCCTATGTTTAGCATTTCTCGGATTCTTTGACTGTTTCGCAAAATATAGATCACGGGATTTGTTTTCGTATATTCTCGACTAGCAGATCAATCAAGTTAGTGAATAATTCCAAGATTGGTACTTCAATATAGGTATGTAGATATATTCAAACATTAACCCAGGTTGTAAGTATTGACACAGTCCCAGACTTTGAAGCGAATAGAAGAATATGAACGGCGAAGATAGAGAAGAGGATTATGCTTACAGCGTCTTTTGTACCTCTGTTGCGAGACTTGCCATTCCACATTCAATAATGCATCCTGTTCTGTTTTCGAATAACATTTGCCTCGCAACGTCAATATTTCTTTTGTGAAAGTTTTGAGCTCCATTCTGCTGGACGTAAGCAGCACGAGAAAGACCTGTGACTTCCTGAAAATAGTGGTCTTCAGTTATCAATCGTCGACCAAGATGTGTTGCTCCAATAAAACCCAAACTTCGTTTTCCCGACCCTCGGGAACCTATGAGAATGATTGACGCATTGGAGGGGAAAATTCGACCTTTCGTTTGCACTCCTGGTTTCAACTGTATCGCCTTTTCTATATCCATGATTCCATTGTTGGAGATGACTTGAGTTGTTAGAGACATTGTTTTGCTCGCATTCTGGATTTCGTCCCGTAGCACGTGATTGGCTAAAATCAAGGATGAAGGGGCTCCGTTCCAGTACAGTCCAACGAAGCGACAAACCCCCAAAAATGGTATGGTCAGTGGGATGAGTTGATTACAGTCGACAATTTTTTCTCGTGAATAAGTACAATATAACAAGAGAAGAACCAGGGGAAATTGTACAGAAATGGTTAATTATCGAAGTACATTCTTGATCGCTCTTTCGAAAAAGCACCGAGACACAATCGCAAATGCCGAATGTAAGTCCCTTCAATCAATCACCTAGACCTAGTAGACTAGCCAATGACCGTGGCCAGGTACTAATTAATAAGCGGCTGTCGGGTGAGAATTCTTCCACCTCCAGTTGAATTAGCTCGGACTCTTGGCTGTCTGTGGGGTATGGGGAAACGACGAGATGAATTTGAGTTCAATGTCAAATTTTGTATGGAGAATGAACGGCGACTTTAAGATATCCAATTGCTGTTACCTGGGTGAAAATCAATGCTGTAAATCATCGCGATACCATTGACAGGAATAACGACACCTACCGAGCTGCTAATAACCTTCGCGCGCGACTCAGAACGACAATCCATTTGATGTGGTACGGAACCAAAGACAATCCTTCTGGTTGAAGTAAGAAACAAATCGGTCGATGGCATACATATGGTTCGCATGCGAAGGTATCTCGGGTTGAAGCGGGCATCGTCCCTTGTTGTATATTATCCATTGTAGCAATGGAACATGGAAACTCTACCCGGAGCTCGAAGCCTGAAGGGGCGTCATCAAACAATAAAAAGGAGGCCAAGGCTCTGCCGGGAGGCTCGAAGAAGCAATTACAGGGCACACGA